ATTCTTAATTGTCTATTTATTAATAATCACTTTTCAAGGTTATTTCAAATCTCGCCTTGATATCAGAAAGGTAACCTAAGTCATTTCCTTTTTATTGTTGTTGAGATAGGCTTTAATTTATTTGTGACTATATATTATTTATAAAAGATAAAAACTGAAACATTTAATTAAGAAACAATAACTAATAAAATAAAATTAACTTATATTTTGTAAAGCACCAAAGTACAAAATTGAGCTAATATTTCTCTCAAGTGGCACATCATTTAATGATCCATACATTACTTTTTCGGAAGTAATATTAACAAGACCATGATACTTACATTCGGATGGACAGGTTTCAAAAATTATACTCGTCAAGAATGGGGTTTTCTGCTGCCTAGTTTGTTTAATAGCATTTGATAGACATTTCTGGTTTTCAGTTCCATAAGAGATTAGCGGTTGTGACTTGTCATTTTTCCAGTTAATGTCAAACAGTTCACTTTTGTGTGTATTGCTTGCAATGGTACTTTGAAAAGATATATTAGCATAATTGATCAATAATAAATATTAAAGAAATTGATTTTACCTACCAAAAAAATAATTTTAACCTTTTTAACAAATTTTTGTCAGCAACTAAGTTGCTTTTTTTGCTTTTTTTAATATTAAGATCACGAATGAATAGACATGCAGAATTTTTTGACCGAGAAAAATGAACGCTAACTGCAATTGTTGATGATTTAGGATCATATGGTATATCATTTGATGATTCTAATACACACGTGCCCAAAAAACAAGTTTCCAGAATGTTGGCGTTTGCTAGTGGAATTTCTACAATATACTGGTCGTTTTCATTATTTTTTATATCATATTTGCCACTATCAATTTCTTCTTGGTTAAAATCAAAGTTGGAGGGATAACCTATAACTACCCAACTAATTTGAATTTCATACTCGATTGATTTTTTTTGTTTTTGTCGTTTTTCGTTGCTTACATTATAATGAGCATACTCGATTAATTTTTTTAGTTTTCGCCGTTTTTCGTTGCTTACAATATGATGAACAAGGATTGTAGGGCTATATTCATCCAAATAATCGATGCGAGAAGAAAAGATATCTTTACCTTTCTCACTCATTATAGATGTAAAAATTTGACATTCGAATATATTTGGAATATCTTCCAACTCCTTATATAATTTATAAATGGCCGGTTTTCTGGATTCATCGAACATAAAGAAACGAGGCTCAACATTCTCTTATTTCAATCGTAATAATAAAATAAAAGATTAATGATAAAATTGTGATGTAATTGTAAATAAAATATTAGTGTCTTACTTTTTAAAATTCGTTGACCTAAAGCCTTCTTAATCTTTTCTTGCAAATTATCATTTAATAAATCGAAAATAAAATGAAAATCATCATATTCAATTATGTCCCATGATTTATGATCTTCAAGAGACTCCATCCATTTGTTTAAACCATCTTGGTCAAAATATGCTGCTTTATTTCCACCAATAACCTGATTAATCGCATCCGAATTGATGTCTAATGATCTATTTTCGATCTCTGATTCATATTTAATGCTGTTAGCTAATTTAATATTATTAGGCATTGTCCCCACACTCGTCTGTGCGTTTATGCCATTTGTTGTTTTTATCTCACCTAAAAAAAACAAAATTAATAGTAGTAAAAATAAAATTTACAGCATTATAAGCAATCTTAGCTTACTTGATCTTTCAATGTTGAGACTTTTATTAAAAACTATACCACCAAAAACAACACGAAGTGCGTAAAATGAACCGTATTTTTTTGTAATATCGCGAAGTTTTTGTACCTTATTGCGTCCCTTTAATGCTTCTTTAACATCAATTTCAAAGTCTCGAGTTGGATAAATGTCATCTTTCGAAATTTTAATTTCAGCCATTTGTACTTTCTTACAGGAATATTTTTTCGAAGTCGACACTGTTTTAAGATTTTGATCTAAAGATTTTAGTGATACACCCAAAGAAAAACTAAGCCAAGGTAGAATAGCTGAGATATTTCCATCAAAAACGAAATTATTCTTGCACGATGAATCCAGTTTATAGCTATATCCAACTTCTTTTTCATAAACTTTAGATTTTAAGTCACACACCACTTTCTCTTTGTTGCGTATAATGAATACTTTTTTCGGGGCTTTTTCAATTGAATAATCCTTGAGAATGAATCCATTTGTGGACTTCTCGATCAATTGAGTCCAATCAAGACTAGATGTCTTAATAATTTTTAAAATGACTTCATCTTCAGTAATATCGGATAATATTCTATTAGTCTCATTTTCACGCGCAATTAGAACCCCATCTTTATCTAAAAAATAATAATTTGATTTCATTTTATGCGCTTCATTGCTATTTTTCTCAAGTGTCATTCGAATGTTCTCGAGCGTTGCCTCTTTAGGCAGTTCATATTTAAAATGAACATTATTTTTCTCGTCAGCTTTGTCTATAATGGAAATAACCATGGCTATGGTGGTAGCAGAGATAAATAAAACTTTATTCTTAAGAACTTCAGCTAACGCTTTTTCGCTTTCATCTCTATGGCTAATAACAATGAAATTTTCTTTTTCATCCCCAATTTTATTGACCATCATTTTAAAGATAAAATTTTTATAAATATTTTCTCTTTCAAAATGTTTTCGAATGCTGGTGAGATTCTCATTCATGCTTAAAAAATGTGTTTCCGTTTGATCATCAATTCGAACATTAATCGCAATTTTGGACTTGTCGGTAGTAATGTAAATAAATTTATTTTTACAAAGGATTCCAGACAATTTATCTTCATCTTTATGTTCAATTGGTGTATCATTCTCATTTTTTTTAAATTGAAGTTTTTTTGGGTCCAAGTCTTTTTTTTCTGCTATGTATTCCCGTACTTTATTAAGAGGCATGTCTGATTGTAACCATTCTGAAAAGGATTCATTGCAATCAATTTTGATTGCTACTTCAATTGGACTTTCCTCATTTTCCTCCATGATAGGGGAAAAAGGCAAATTTTTGTTACAGAAATATTATCTACTTGTTAAATGAGTTATAGTTGTGATAAGACTAAGTGTAACAGCTATAATCCATATTGCGTATTTCGCTCACATAATTTTACCGGTGTAACATCGCACATAATGTACTCTGTAAGAGGGAAAAATCATCGCCGAGGTAGCTCGGAGTCGATTACAAATGCATTAAATGTAACATAAGTCTTATAAGTCATATGTAGCCGAAATACCACCTATTAGATGCTGTACATTCTATTTATTAGATATGTTCTACCACTAATGGTGCAAAATATAAAATCACTACATTTTTGCTTTAATAAAGATAGCGAAGAGTTCAAACATCAAAAAGAGCTTCGCTCAAATAATTCCCCCAATAAATTAAATCGGTAAGCAATCCCGAATTAGAGGGGTACCCTAGGCATGGCAAAAAAAGTTCGGGTCACGTGGTAACCGATAAAAGTATTTAAGCCTATTTAGATTAGAGTTAGGGTCGGATCAGGGTTAGGGTTAGAGAGTGTTAGTAATAAGAATTATCCCCGGCATTTTTGTTAGTGCGCAGAAGGTTGTTTATTATGAAGTTTGTCGAGAGATAATCAAGAGCGAACGAATTTTCCTGATCGTGTTACGTTACACCAAATTAGAAATCGTTATTGGCTAATTTACTACAGATAAGACCAGTGTAGGAAATCTATTTTAAAATCTATGTTCTCATGAGAACATGTTTATTTAATTTAATGTTCTCAAAAAAATTTTTATATTCTCATAATAAAAATTTATAGTTTCTCTTTCTCCTTCTTTCGAGCTTTTCACTGTTAGAATTCATTAGAGTTTGGTAGTTTAGTGTGTTGATTTAGGTTAGTTTTATTAATATTCGCATTGTTCATATTTTGCGATTCCGGAGTATTTCTCATGCTCACAATGTATGTAAGTGTAAATGGTGCACCACCGGTACCTTTACAGCTTTGATGAGGCCAAAATTTAAAATTATTTTTTTTAAAAAAAATAATCAATTACTGTAAAATTCTCATACAAAACTTGCTCGCTATTCTAATAATCACAATATGTGGTTAAGATTGTGTTAATTTGCGTTGGAATTATTAAAAT